AAGATACAACTGACTTGACACCGAATACACCAAAGACAACTGCAGAAAAAGCCGAGACTTCTCAGGACTCTATGGGTTCGTATGCGGTTGCTCTGTTGGGAATGGGGTCTGCGTCCTCAAATGGTGTGGTACAACCTGAGTTGTCACTGGCTACCAAACCTGGAAATATGCCTATCCTTGAGGAATCGGATGATACTGAAGGTAGCAGCCAGGTGGAACCAGAAAAGTCTATCTCTTTGGGGTCCCAAGATACATTACCATTGAAGATAGCCGATGAAGATGCTTTGAAAGAGAAAGAGCCTAAAAAATGGAATTCACTGTTTAGGGACAACCGTGCCCCTTCACATGGTTTAAAACTAGAATACTTCCCTCCTACCGGGGAAAAGCTTGATTTCTCACATCTTCAAGTGCCTACACTCATTGAAGTATGGGGCTACTGCTTGGTTGGGCATTTCTCGGGAAGATTCCCGGGTCTCAAAGCCATTTATGAGATGACAAAACAATGGAGCGTGGCTGTGGATGTTAAATCTCATAGTAAGGGCTGGGTAATCTTCAAGTTCAAATCTGAAGATGACAGGATGCGTGTCATGTCCGAGGGCCCCTACATTCTATATGGGAAGACTATGTTCCTCAAAGAATTATCAGATGATTTCTCTACTGAATGCGATGAATTCCTCAAAGTGCCGATTTGGGTAAAATTCCCTAAACTATCTATGCGTCTATGGAAAGCAAAGGAAATGGGTATGATTGCGTCTCAAGTAGGGGTGCCTATCACTACTGATAAAGTAACCCAAGACACAGTTTATACCCATTTTGCACGAGTACTTATTGAAGTCGACATCTCTAAAGCTCCGGTGTTGCAGTTTCCCATAGTCCCCCCCTCGGGCAAGGAGTATATGCAACAAGTAATCTTTGAAACATTTCCGGATTATTGCTATCATTGCAAGAGATATGGACATAACCCTTTCACGTGTTCTATACTCAACCCTCCAAAAGAAAAGGTGGTGACTAAGGCTGTTGATAAGGGCAAAGAAATTATGGTTGAGGAAGCTCCGTTTATTGAAGTGCGGTATAAAAAGGGGGGAGGATCTGTACCAAAGCTGCAGACTGGCCAAACATCTAAACCAGCTGCTCCTGGATCGCAACAAATTAAAACAGCCACCATTTGGAGAAATTCTGGACCGAATAGGCAGACCCCTGGAACTAAAGCAGCTGGACCGAAGAATGCTGGAACTCGTCCTCAACCGAAGACCTCTAAATCTACTGCAATTGACGCTTTCAATCTGAATGAAATTCCGACGGAGGCCCAAATCAATGGGGAGAGTGACTGGGTGGGTCGCAAGGTTACTAGCATGCATGAGATGGAACGGGATGATATTGTCAATCACTTTATCACGAAGGAAGATGGTGGCCATGTTGCTTTTGTTAAGAAACGGCATCAAATTAAGAGCTATATTGCCATAGCTAGGATGGGGCTTGACCTTAAAAGGCTGGATAATCCTAACATCTCAGCCCTTTCATTCACTGATCCATGCTTGATGACTCTACCTGGGGTTAAGCGTACGCCTACTTGGTACTCTTTTAACCCTGATATTTTTTACCTTAATGTTGGTTGTTTTTTTGATCCCCAATACAGGATTAATGTGGATTTCCGGAAAAATAAAGAGCAGCAGGCTAAAGCTAATACCGCAGATCTTGCTGCGTCCAACTTTGAGGGTCTGAAAGCATCCAATGGTGACGCTGGCAGACTGGATGCGAACACAACCGGACTGGGCAGTTTGTTTGATGAAACCCGAGGGGATCCTGCACTAAATGGGGGAAAAGGCTATTTAGTAACGAACATGTACGAGATGGGTTATGATGACGTGGTCACTATGGTCTGTGTTAATGAGAAGAATAAAACCGTAGCTTATGCATGGGAAACTGACCAAGTACCGAGTGGGGTCAACATAGTAAAGCTTGGTTTGAGTTTAGAACCGATCACAGGGGATGAAACAGGGATTAATTTCACTGAAGACTTTATTCTTAGCTGCCCGGAGGCAAGAAAAAATGGTGATTGGTATGAATTTGAAAAACCCGCTTTCATTCATAATTACCTTTCCTTTTTTGATGCTAACCTGGACAGGAATAAAAAATACTTAAAAGAAATGAGGAGAAGGGCAAGGAAAGAAAAGAAGGACAAAGGTGGAATTGACCCGGATGACTTCAATCCGGACTTCTACCTTACTTGACAGCCCGCTGAATTGGATGGTTGGGGTACCCCCTTTTCTCGGACTGTTTTTTATTTGTTTTTATGATAAAATCGTTTGATTTGTGTAAGGGTCTGATTTTAGTTTTATGTATTCTTATTTTATTATGATTAAGATAGCTTTTTGGAATGTTAGGGGTTTTAATAAACCCTCCAAACAATCTACGATCAAGCGTTTTATTAACTCGAATAATGCTTGCCTTGTGTGTCTTTTAGAGACAAAAATGAATTGTGATAATTTGAAAAATTTGG